TAGGTTAGGATTGTGATTATTTTTGAATTTACACAAACAATATGCAAATTCTCACTCACCTTGATTTTTTCAAGAATGGAGTTCTTGTAGATGTGGTCTATGTCTATATTGGCTTATTTTTAGCAGTTAAAAACTATCAATATAGTGCCAACATAGCTATGAAAACATGTTTTTGCCATATGGGCTGATCTATAGAGGTTTGTGTTCTATATAGCATATAAAATAAACTCAAGCTTGGTGATGGGAAAAAGAGGTCAAGATGCCAAGAAAGTAAAAGAAACTTTTTCAAATTTTCTTTACAGTTTCATATAATGATGCCTGCTTTTAATCTCAGCATTCAGGGCTGAGGCAGGTGGGTTGTAGTCTGAGGTCTGTTTGGGATATTTGAGAGAATGGATCTCAAACAATAAAGACAAAAGAATACAACCACTTATTCTGCTTCTAGGCCACAAAGTTGTCTTAGAAAATACAGCCTAAGTAGTCACTGTACTTTAGACCTTAAAGCCCAATCATGTCATATCACCAATACCCTTTCAAAGAAGGTTTTTTAAAGAATATATTTTAAATAAATAGCATGAGAAAATGGAAGACTGGAGTAATTCAAATTGGTAGTGCAATTTATTTGCACCTAAGAATATAAGCCATTGCTGTGGGATATTACTTTAAATATGCAAAGATGTGTTATATTTGCTTACACTGCATTTGTTTAACAATGTAAATATGTGTTGCTTTGCCTGCCTGATTGGTCTAATAAAAAGCTGAACAGCCAATAGCTAGGCGGTAGAGGGATAGGTGGAGCTGGAAGGCAAAGAGAAAAAATAGGAGGATGAATCTAGCCTCAGGAGAGAAGAGACGAGGTAATGAGGGAGAAAGAAAGGAGACACACCCAGGGCCAGCCAATTAGGCAGCAGCCAGCCAGACATGGAGGAAGCAGGAAAAGTAGGACATGCAGAATGAAATAAAGTTAAAACCCCCAAGGCAAAACACAGAAGAAGAGAAACAGGTTCAACTAAGTTATAAGAACTAGTGGGGCAAGCCTAACTAAGCTAAGGCCAAGCTTTCATAACTAATATTAAGTTTCCATGTCATGATTTGGGGGCTGGCAGTATGAGAAAGCCCACTACAAGTCACAGGTAATTAAACATCCTTATGTTGATGCTCAGTAAGTAAGCCAGCTACAAAATAAATCAAAATATGATTCATCAGGGAAATACAAATGAGATAATTGAACAATATGATTCCAGTTAGTTTGCGAATAGGCTGGCTATGCTTTGGGAAACAGTTCAGGAGACCATACCTTCTGATGTGGATAACAGTAAGAGTTAGGATAAAGCTAAAGGACATTAGATATAATGGATGCCCACTATGAACCGTGTTCTCTGAGTATTTATTGTAGATATCATGACTTTTCCTCAGGCACACCATGGGTACATAAATCTGCTACCAAGTCATTAGACATGTATTGCAATTGTGATTACACTAACTGCCAAATGAAAAAGACAAAGATTGGAAGAGAGAAATGCCAAGAATAAGAATTCTCTTTAAGGCAACATCCAGCAACTAATGGATGCAGATGCAGAGGCCCACAGCCAAACATTAGGCAGAATTCAGGAATCCTGTAAAGGAGGAGGAGAAAGGAGTGTAGGAGCCAGAGGGGTCAAGGAAGATGGGGAATGTCTTGTATATTGTGAACATATGTTTCTCTTATTGGTTGATGAAGAAATGCTGATTGGCCAGTAGCCAGTCAGGAAGTATAGGCAGGGCTACCAAACAAGGAGAATGCTGGGAAGAGAGAGCAGAGAGATGCCATGTAACTACCAGGAAGATAGGATGCTGAGCATTCTCCAATAAGCCAAGACCACTTGGAAATACTTAGATTAATAGAAATGGGTTAATAATTAAAGGAGAGCTAGCCAGTAAAGAGCCTAAGCCATGGGCCAAACAATTTATGATTAATATAAGCCTCTGTGTGTTTACTTGGGTCTAAATGGCCGTGGGACTGGGTGAAATAGAACCTCTGTCTACACAAGGACACCATGGAAAGGCTCACACAATCAAGTAACCTGGGCTCATAGAGGCTCGAAGAGAGTAAACTGACAACCAGGGTGCCTGCTTGCGCTGACCTAGGCATTCTGCATATATATTACAGTTGTGTAGCTTGCCCCTTAATGGAATTCCTAACAGCAGAAACCAGGGCTGTCTCTGACTCTTTTATTAGCTTTTGGGACCCTAATTATCATACTGGATCATGTTGCGCAGTCTTAATACATGGGTGGTGCTTAATTTCACTGTAACTTAATATGCCATGTTCTATTGATACTCTTAGGAGACCTGCTCTTTCCTGGATGGAGACAGAAGAGGAGGCCATTGAGGGGTGGCAGGGAGGAAATGAGGGAGAGAGACTGGGAAGGAGGATGGGGGAGGCTGCATCAGGGATGTAAAATAAATAGATGAATAAAAAAGAATTCTCTTTACAACAGAGAGCAGAGGCATAGTGTATGATGGGCAATAATAATGAGGAAAAAATCAAATCACTAGTTTATAGTTAGTGAGGTTGGAACAGGAATGATGTCAGTTTCCTTAGGTGTATGAGTATGAATTACTCCAATCATTTCACAAAGTCACCATCTCTAACCTTGTTTGAGACTTAGCAACCTGACATTCAGAAATTATGTCACACTCCCCTCGAAGGCATAATTTAGCCTTTTGTCATAATAACCATTGGAGTCAGGTCTTTCCCTGGGAGTTTTTTCCTCTACTAGAATGGCATATTCCCACCTTTGACAGAAAGCTCCAACCCTGACTAGCACATCAGTAGTTGTTTCTCAATTTTCCTTAAGGGATTCAATTTTGAGGACTGTTGAGTGCCAGATGAAGAAATGAGCATTTCTGCTCCGGTAGTAGAATGATCTAGTTTCTTGATAATTTAACAGTATTGTATAAAGTAGCTTTTCCTGTTTGAATGTTTGAATACCATCTGTAGCACCTGGCCACTCTGGTATAACTCACTAAATTCATGTTTCTACAGTGATCACTAGGAAGGATTCCAATCAGTTACTATGTATTTCCCTACAATTTCCTTCTGAAGATGTCTCTCCAGGGGAAGCCCCAAAGAAAGCCAAGTTATTGTGAAGTTTCTCACTACTTTTGCATATTATATTATTCTTTCTTGCTACATTAACTAGTTTTATGCCAACTTGTCATAGGACAGAGTCATTTGAGAGATGTAAATCTCAATTGAGAAAATTCTTCCATAAGACTGGATATAGGCAAGCTTATAGAGAACATCTTCTTAATTAGTGAATGATGTAGGCGGGCCCAGGACATTGTGAGCTCTGCAATCCCCAGGATAGTGGTGTTGGGTGATATGCAAAAGAAAGTAGAATTTTCAAACCATGGAGAGCAAACCAGTAAGCAGTACTCCTCTGTGGTCTCCTGCCTCTGGAACCTCCAGCCCTGTTTGAGTACCTGCTATGATTTTCATCAGTGATAAACTGAGATCTAGAAGTATACATTAAACAAACCCCATGGCCCCAACTTGCTGTCATCATAGTGTTCCAACACATCAATAGAAACCCCAACTAAGACACTTTCTTAAATGATTTCCTGTCTCATCACCACATGTGGTGGTTTGAATGAAAATGGCCACTATAGGATCACCTTTGAATGCTTGTTCCCCAGTTAATAGAACTATTTGGGAAGGATTAGGAGGTGAGGCATTGTTGGGGGAGGTGTGCACTGCAAAGTGGACTTTGAGGTTTCCAAAGCCCACACCAGGCCCAATCTTGCTCTCCCACCCACTACCTATTGCCCGTGGACAAGGGTATAAGTTCTTAGTTACTGATCCAGCACCATGCTCTTGCCAGATGCCACTGTTTCCACCATGATGATCATAAACTAATTCTCTTTGAGCAAGTCCCCAAAGAAATGCCTTCCTTCATAAGTTGCCTTGGTCATGGTGTTTCTCACAGCAATATAAGAGTAAGAAATTTCATAATTTCTTCTTCCCCCTTCAAAATTAGTCTCAGATGTTACAAGTTATTTTATGAAATCATTCTAGGATAGCACCCACCACCACCACCAAATAAAGTCAATCTTCCTTTAAACTTCCAAAACATTTTGCACATACCAACAGCTTATTAACATGGCAATTTACCAGAACTCTTTGTGTAGGATTCTACTTTCTTTTCTAGGTTATGAGCCCCTCAATGCTGTACATAAGTCAGACACCCTATAAATTACCAACACCTTTTACAGTAAGGTGCAGGAATGGTTTGCAGTAAACATTTGTAGACATGGTGCTTAAAATTGTCCAATCTTGTTTCATAAAAGTGTCACCTATAGGAAAATGCATGACGACAAACACTTTTTAGGGACAATTTTTTTTTCTTTTAGAGCTTGATTGAAATTTTCATTATTGAGCTTGAGGTTATCTTAAGGTTACTGAATTTGATTTATTAGGATTAAATTTGCTATTGTACATTTTGTAGATTTTCATTGGTTTATCAGTGGCCTTCCCATGTTTAATATAACCTTTTTGTGTAGCATCAAATGATGTCTTGCTAAGAGTTAGAAAAGTAGAGGTTTGAAGAGCCAGAGGGTTTTTGTTTGATTTTTTTTAAACGAAACAAAACTCCATATCTGAATAGAGGACTGAAGGAGAACTAGGACGATGGCTCTCTGAAACCATTTGTCACTCTTCCTAGTTGTATAGGATGCTATGAAAAACCAACCATAACCACTTGAGGCTTTCTAGTGTAAGGAGGAGCTTTTCTTTAACAGATGCAGAGAACATCTTACTATAGAAGAACTATCATCAAGGCTAGCAACTTGCCAAATGAAGTCATACATAAATTGGCTGTTATCATTATTGAATTGTGGTTTCTGATCCATACTTAGAATTGTGGTTTCCTCTCTCATTAATAAAAGCAACAGAATTCATGTACTTGGTAAACATACACGTAAGTGTTTAAGGATAAAACAAAGAACATTGCACTGACCATAGTCTGTGTTTTCTGGCTCCCAACAATTTGATGGCCAAAAATAGGGTGTCTAAGGAAGAAAAAAGAGGAGTCTTGATTAGACACATAAATATTTAGTAGGCTTTTGGTGTATAGCCTGGGTTTACTTCAGGGGCTACCTAGTCTATGTTCCTGATAACACACATTTTAAACCCAGATGAAGCTAGCAGAGAGGTATTATAACATTCTCACCTACAGGTGCTGACCAATTTCTCAGCATTCAGATTTACCAACACCAGCAGGGATTTGAATCAGTGCTCATTTTCCATCATCTTGCACCAATGGACATAAGGTTAAAGGCTATGACTGCATTATCCAAACAAAAGGTTCAGTTTTAGCCCCAGAGAGGGCGGAAAGCAGAACATTATGTTTAGCAAGATTTGGGATGAACCGTGTTTAAAGACAGTGATTTATTTCCATGCATCAGATCTCTTTCCTGATTTTCATAGATTTTAAAAGTTGAGAATCATCCCTGAGGTTTGTGAATCAGATCTGTTAATGATGTAATGCAGTTTTCAACATTATTCAACATGATGACAGTAACCTTTGACCCTTACTCATGAAAATATTCTTTCATTTATTGCTGTAAACTTTTAAATGGTACAAAAAAGGAGATCATTTTTTAAACTAACAATATCTTTGATGTGATTAACAATAGCTAGAAATCTGATTCTGTAAAATTCTACAAGTACACTGATTGAAATACAAATACATTGATCTGGAATAAAAACCTTATTAAGATAATTGATATAGCATTGTTTCAGGATTTTTCTAGCCCTGATTGCTGTACCTGGCAAAAAGATTCATGGTGACCACAGATTTGCATAAGCGACTCCATTCATTGAAATAGGAATGACACAAGAGCTCATAGGAACAGTGGTTATAGAAGCACATAGAGTGGGTTGATTATATGGATTAACTAATTATACACATCATTTATGTGCAATAAGAATACTTTGGGCATTTTCTGATTGTCTGATAATTTTACTTTCTAGCAAGAGTGACTTTCAAAGATGGAGAAAGGGATGCTTTGGATAAGTTATTAAGTTCTAAGGGGAGGGCCCTTTTCCACACGATCTAAGACAACCAGAGGTTCTTGACTTAGCCCCTACTTCTTTGAAATTACTTCAGTATAATAAAGAAGGCTACTAATAGTAGTTCTGTGCACATATGAAAAAATCACTGTAGGAATTTGGAGGAAAAAACACTGAACCACTAGATTAAGAGGGGTGGGAAGACATATATGGAACACTCTTACCCTCTCTAATCACACTTAACTCTGTAGGAGACAGAAGTTTGAAGATTTGGTTTCTCGGAAATTAAACTTGACCAGGATTTCAGTAAAGCTACAAGGGAATGAATTAGCAAAAAACTGCTTTCATGTAGGGCTCTGCTTTTGAGAGGCCTCTCAGAGGGAGCACTGATTGCTTCATTTTTTTTGTGTGTGTGTGTGTGTGTGTGTGTGTGTGTGTGTGTGTGTGTGTGTGTACATCCTTGTGTAGGCATATTAACTAGCTTTAGATTGTATATCTTATAGACATATGGTCAAATAGATACTTTTTTCTCATCTCTACTCTTAATTCTTTTTTTCTTTTCTTCTTTTTTCTTTTTTGTTTTGAGACAGGGTTTCTCTGTGTAGCTTTGGAGCCTATCCTGGCACTCGCTCTGGAGACCAGGCTGGCCTTGAACTCACAGAGATCTGCCTGCCTCTGCCTCCTGAGTGCTGGGATTAAACCAACGCCCGGCTTCTACTCTTAATTCTTAAGAGAGTGGCTATAGCCAGTATTTCCTCTCCGATTAAGGTTTGTTGTTGTTGTTGTTGTTGTTACTGCTGTTTTGTTTTTTATTGTTATTGTTTTTTGCACACTGAAGAGTTTATTTATCATATTGATTATAAAGACAGAATTTTTTTATTTTTATAAGCATAGAACAATTGGTCCTCCAGAATTTGTCTTTGTTAGTCTTAAATTTTACTTGTAGCTTCAGTGTGAAAAATGTTTCTAAAAATTAGAACCATATAAAAACATAATCCTGTATTAGCAAAGAATTTCCTTCATAAGCAAGAAGAGTTAGACACATATAGACAATTGACTTGCCAATCAACAATACTTGCTACGTATTAACAGTTTTCTGGGACTGAAGCTGGTTATGGGACACAGGTGGGAGTATAAGTTTAGTTATATGTCTCAACTTGCTGCTTGCTAAATGCAATTTACAACTGAAGTCTTCCCTATTTTCTTTGACTCCAGTAAATCACCTCATGAATTTTTCTTATGTTAAAATGTAACTTCTATAATTACATAGTCAGCTTTCACATTTTCCCATTGGTGTCTTATGATTGTTTCTGATGCTTATATCTGAACACTGATTACTTTCTAAGTAGCCTATGACAACCATGTAATAGCTTCCAAAAGATCTGTAAACACACAGGGATGAAGTTCAAGCTTTCTGATTTATTGCAAAAGAATATATGTTACCACTTACTTGAAATCGGTAGAAGGTGCCATCATCCTTGAGTGTGAGGACATGATCTGAGATGGGAAAGAAGTAGCCATGGGCAGCCATTAGCGTTCCCAAATGGAGAGCCTCCACTGTTCCAAGAAAGCAAAGCAAAATGAAAACCGCACATGAAAGCCGATTATGTTTATTGGAATTTTTTGTTGTTGATTAAAAAAGAGCAATATGTATCCAATTCTCCTTCAGCACATTCTTGCACCAAATTTTTAACATCTTCCCAATCAAGTTCATGTTTCATAGAACAATCTTTCTCTACGTGTGTGTGTGTGTGTGTGTGTGTGTGTGTGTGTGTGTGTGTGTGTGTGAACTTCAAGTTCAAAGTCAAGATCTTCCTGCAGATTTATCTACATACTCTAGTTAAAACTTTAGAACTCAAGGCCAGACTTCTGCTTGCTCTCTTTGGGATATCCTGGTCTGGGGACTGTAGGCAGGTCTATCCCCCCACCCCCAGTGAACCAAGCAATCCAGAGTCAGCTGACATCTCTGTGATAGTCATGCCCCCACTCAGGGGAGGGGTGAGCATGGGCCCCTGTCTTAGGCCGGACTTCTGCTTGCCCTATTTGGGATCTCCTAGCCTGGGGACTGCAGGCAGGTCCACTCACCCAAGGCAGATTAAGCCATCCAGAATTTGCTGACATGGCAGTACTAGTCCATCATCTACTCACTGGAAGAGGGGATGTGTCAAACCCACCTGCACCCATCTTGAGACCCATCAGAATATTGGACCTGCTTGCACCCACCAGATGAGAACCTTGGACCCATACCCACCAGGAGAGGAAGAGACCCCACCTATAACCACTGGAAGAAGGGATGGAAAGATGACAATATAAGAACACATTCAACAACAGAAAAACCAATATGATGCCACCAGAGTCTACGGACTCTGCACCAGCAAGAATTGAACATCCCTACACAGATGAAGCAGAAGAGAATGACCTTAAAAACAACTTCATGAACATGATAGAGACCATAAAAGAGAAAATCCTTTAAAGAAATGGAGGTAAAACAAACAAATAATTCAAGAAATGGAGGAAAGGACAAACCAAAAATTGCAACACACAATTCAAACAGTGCAAGGTTTGCAAACTGAAACAGAGACAACAGCAACACCAACAAAAACACAGTCTGAGGGAATGCTGGAATTAGAAAAGCCAGGTAAAAGATCAGGAACTACAGATGCATGCATAACCAACAGAATACAAGATATGGAAGAAAGAATCTCAGGCATTGAAATACACTAGGAGAAACAGATTCATCAACCAAAGAAAATCTTAAGTCCAACAAATCCTTAACACAAAATATACAGGAAATATGGGACACTGTGAAAAAGCCAAACCTAAGAATAATAGGTATAGAAGAAGGTGAAGAAACCCAACTCAAAAGTGCAGAAAACATATTCAACAAAATCATAGAAGAAAACTTTCCCAATCTGAAGAAAGACATGCCAATGAAAGTATAAGAAGCTTACAGAGCACTAAATAGAGTGAGCCACAAAAAAGTCACCTTGCCACATTACAGTCAAAATACCAAACATACAAAATAAAGGAAGAATATTAAAAGCAACAAAGAAAAAAGGCCAGGTAACATAAAAAAGCAGACCTATCAGAATTACACCTGTCTTCTCGATGAAAACCCTGAAATCCAAAAGGTCCTGGATAGATATTCTACAAATGCCAGCCCAGACTACTATACCCAGCAAAGATTTCAATCACTGTAGATGGAGAAAACGAGATATTCCATGACAAAACCAGATTTAAACAATACATTTCCACTAATCCAGCCGAGAGAAAGTTCTAGAAGGAAAACTCAACCAACCCAAGGAAGCTAACTACACTCACAAATAGGCAATGGATAATCCCACTGTACCAAAAGCCAAAAGAAGAAAGGAGACAGGGAATTCAAACACAATACCATCACTAGCAACAAATCCAAAACAAGTAAGAATTAACAATCAATGGTCATTAATTTCTCTCAATATCAATGGTATTAAATTGCCTATAAAAAGACACAGGCTAACAGAATAGATATGAAGACTGAGTCCATCCTTCTGCTGCATACAAGAAACACACCTCAACTTCAAAGACAGATGTTACCTCAGAGTAAAGTGTTAGGATAAGGTTTTCCAATCAAATGATCTCAAGAAACAAGCTGGTGTAGCTATCCTACTATATAAACAAATTAGAATTCAAACTAAAATCAATCAAAAGAGATGAAGAATGTCATCTCATATTGTTCACCGGAAAAAATTCATCAGGATGAAGTCTCAATTCTGAAAATCTATGCCCCAAATACAAAGGAATCCATGTTCGTCAAAGGACATTACTAAAACTCAAATTACACATAAAACCTCACACAGTTATATTGGGAGACATCAATACCACACTCTCACCACTAGACAGGACCAACAGACAGAAAATTAACAAAGAAACAAAGGAACTAACAGAAGTTATGACCCTATTGGGTTTAACAGACAACTATAGAACATTCCATCCAAACACAAAAGATTATACCTTATTCTCAGTGCCAAATCAAACCTTCTCTAAAATTGAACACACACTCAGCAACATAGCAAGACTCAACAGATACAAAAAATTGGAATAACCCCCTGTATCTTATCAGACAACAATGCTTTAAAGTTAGAATTCAACAATAAGAAAAGTTGCAGAAACTCTACCAACTCACGGAAATTGAACAATGTGCAGTAGCACCATTCCTGGGTCAAGGAAGAAATAAAAAAAGAAATTAAAGACTTCCTAGGATTCAATGAAAATGAAGACACAACACCCAAACTTTCGGGATACTTTGAAAGCAGTACTAAGACAAAAGTTCACAGCACTAAGTGCCCACATGAAGAAATTGGAGAATAGTCACACTAGAGAATTAACAGCACAGCTGAAATCTCTAGAACTAAAAGATGAAAATTTACCCAGGATGAATAGATGACAGGAAATAATCAAATTGAGGGCTAAAATCAATAAAGTAGAAACAAAGAAAACAATACTAGGAATCAAAGAAACAAAGAGTTTCTTTGAGAAAATCAATAAGATAGACAAACCTTTATCCATACTAACCAAAAGGCAGAGAGAACAGGGGGGCATAACAACGGACACTGAGGAAATTCAAAGAATCATCAGGTCATACTTTGAAAACCTGTACTCACAAAATTCGAAAATTTAAAGGAAATGAACAATTTTCTGGATAGATATCACTTACCAAAATTAAATAAAGAGCAGATAAGCAATTTAAATATACCTATAACCCCTAATGAAATAGAAGCAGTCATCAAAATCTCCCAACCAAAAAAAGCCCAGGGCCAGATGGCTTCAGTGCAGAATTCTACCAGAATTTCAAAGAAGAGCTAATACCAATACTCCTCAAACTGTTCCATACAATAGAAGCAGAAAGGTCATTGCCAAATTCTTTTTACGAGGCTACAATTACCTTGGTACCCAAGTCACACAAAGACACAAGTAAGAAAGAAATACAAATATCCCTCATGAACATTGATACAAAAATATTCAATAAAATACTGGCAAAAAGAATCCAAGAACACATTCAGAAAAATTATCCACCATGATCAAGTAGGATTCATCCCAGGAATGCGGGGATGGTTCAACATTTGAAAATCCATCAATGTAATTCGCCATATAAACAAACTGAAAAAGAAAAACACATGATCATCTCACTAGATGCTGAAAGTCTTTGATAAAATCTAGGAATAACAGGAACATGCCTAAACATCATAAAAGAATGTACTACAAACCAACAGCCAACATCAAACTAAATTGAGAGAAACTCAACATGATTCCTTTACAATCAGGAACAAGACAAGGCTGCCCACTCTTTCCATATCTCTTTAATATTGTACTTGAAGTTCTAGCTAGAGCAATAAGAAAACAAAAGGACATCAAGGGGATACAAATTGGAAAGGAAGAAGTCAAATTTTCGCCATTTGCAGATGATATGATAATTTACAAAAGTGACCGGAAAAACTCTACCAGGGAACTCCTACAGCTGATAAACACCTTCAGCAAAGTGGCATGATATGAGATTAACTAGAAAAATAATCAGTAGCCTGACTATTAACAGATAAATGGGCTGAGGAAGAAATCAGAGAAACATCATACTTTATAATAGCCACAAACAACATAAAATATCTTGGGGTAATGCTAACCAAACAAGTGAAAGACCTGTATTCAAGAACTTTGAGTCTTTAAAGAAAGAAATTAAAGAAGATGCCAGAAAATGGAAAGATCTACCATGCTCTTGGAAAGGTAAGATCAACCTAGTAAAAATGGCAATCTTGCCAAAAGCAATCTACAGATTCAATGCAATCCTCATCAAAATCCCAGCACAATTATTCACAGAACTTGAAAGAATAATACTCAACTTTATATGGAAAGACATAAGACCCAGGATAGTCAAAACAACCCTGTACAATAAAGGAACTTCCAGAGGCATAATCATTCCTGAATTTCAAGCTATATTATATAGCTATATCCCGAAAACAGCTTGGTATTGACACAAAAGTAGATAGACCAATGGAATCGAATTGAAAACCCTGATATTAACCCACACACCTACAAACACCTGATTTTTGACAAAGAATCTAAAATTATACAATTGAAAAAAGAAAGCATCTTCAGCAAATGGTGTTGGCATAATTGGATGCTGGCATGTAGAAGACTGCAGATAGGTCCATATCTATCACCATGCACAAAACTTAAATCCAAATAGATCAAAGACATCAACATAAATCCAGCCACATGGAAGGGAAAGTGGGAAGTACCTTTGAATGAACTGGTACAAGAGACTGCTTTCTGAACATAACACCAGTAGCACACACCCTGAAATTGACAATTATTAATTGAGACCTCCTGATACTGACAAGGTTCTGTAAGGTACAGTCAGAAAGACAAAATGGCAGCCCACAGAATGGGAAAAGATATTCACCAACCCCAGATCTTACAGAGGGCTGATTTCCAAAATATACAGAGAACCCAAGTAGCTAGTCACCAAATCACTAAAAAATCCAATTAAAAATTGGGGTATAGAACTAAATAGAAAATTCTCA